TGTCATTGTTGTTCCCCTTTCTCGCGCTCCCCCACCCTCGTCTAGGTCCTTCCCCCTGACTAGTTAGTCTGTCTCACCATCACCTCCCCAGAGTGTCCTCTCTGCCCTGCACGCATTTCTCTCCGTCCCTTTCTCAGGCTCTCAACTCATTCCTTTCAACCTTGAGCCTCTGCCCTCTGTCTCCCCTCTGGGTGTCTGAGTTCTGGGAGACTGAAGTGCTACCTATTTTCCATCCCTCCCTCCACACAGAGCAAGTGCTCCTGGGCACTGGGGATGGCCTGGTGGTGTCACTTCCCCCAGTCTTCCATATTAACCTAGCCGACTTACTGGCCCTCTTCCCCGCAGCACCTGTGCAGCCCACGGGCTGACCTCTGGCACTGGGGTGGTGAGTAGGCAGTAGGCATAGGCAGTTTGGGATATGGAAAAGGAGAGGTTATGGAAGCCTATGACTGTCGTTTGTGCCACTTCTACTCCCTACCTGCCCCCTTCCTCCCAACCTTTTCCTCCGGAACCTGGGTGTGGGGTGATGCGTACTTTTGCTTCCTTCTGAAGCCTTGGAAGTGAGTGCAGTTTCCCTAGGGGCCCTGCTGAGGATGAAGAAAGAGATGTTACAAAGGCCAGGGTTTATGCCTAACCCAGGAAAGGACTGAATTCAGTGGAAGAAGGGTTGGCAGTTTTGTAAGACCTGGAGCTTCAGGGCTGCTCATCACACCCCCCATCTTTTGCTGGGGCTGGGAAGGGTGCCCACCAGGGACAAAAGGAGATGTGGGAACTAGGGCTCTAAGCCCATTAGCGGTCAGAGGGATTGGTGCCACTATGATGCCCGGGACCCATGCCAAGGACTGCTGCCATGTTCCCAGCCCCATGCTGCGGGGGCGGGGGGGGGGGCGAGGCAAGCCATTTGGCCCATCTGGCCAGGAGAGGACACAGAGGAGCTATGGGTCTTGTTTCCATTCCAGAGAGCTGTCGCCATGCCCCACGCATACCCAGCGCTTTCTCCTGAGCAGAAGAAGGAGTTGTCGGACATTGCCCTCCGGATTGTGGCTCCAGGCAAAGGCATTCTGGCTGCAGATGAGTCTGTAGGTAGGTGCAGGCCTGTGGCTAGGTGGGGTAAAGGTGTTCAGAGAGCCCTGGGGATGGCCTTGCTGCCCCTGCTTGTTTGCCTCCAGGTAGCATGGCCAAGCGGCTGAGCCAAATTGGAGTAGAGAACACAGAGGAGAACCGCCGGCTGTACCGCCAGGTCCTGTTCAGTGCCGATGACCGAGTGAAGAAATGCATTGGAGGTGTCATCTTCTTCCATGAGACACTCTACCAGAAAGATGATAATGGCGTCCCCTTTGTCCATATGATCCAGGATAAAGGCATTGTCGTGGGCATCAAGGTGCAGCCACTGGCTCTGGGTGGGGGTTGGGTGTGGAAATAAGTGTGCGTGGGAGGGGTGGCAAGGGGGATCCTGCTTGGGTTCAGCTTTCTGCATGTGCGCCCCCTGCAGGTTGACAAGGGTGTGGTGCCTCTAGCCGGGACTGATGGAGAAACCACCACTCAAGGTACAGTGTGGGTGGGCTTTCAGGACCACAGGGGTGCTGGAAGGTTGATGCAAGCAAAAGAGGGGCAGGGTGATGAGGCTGGTACTGTGCCTGCAGGGCTGGATGGGCTCTCGGAACGCTGTGCCCAGTACAAGAAGGATGGTGCTGACTTTGCCAAGTGGCGTTGTGTACTGAAAATCACCGAGCGCACGCCCTCAGCACTTGCCATCCTGGAGAATGCCAACGTGCTGGCCCGCTATGCCAGCATCTGCCAGCAGGTGTGTGCGTGTGGGGGTGGTCAGATGGGTGTCCTGTGCCTGGTGGGGAGAAGGTTACAGGGCTTTCTCCCATCCTACCTACTACCCCTCCCAAGCCACTCTGCTCTTTCTTGCAGAATGGCATTGTGCCTATTGTGGAACCTGAAATCCTGCCTGATGGAGACCATGACCTCAAACGTTGCCAGTATGTTACGGAGAAGGTGAGTCCACACCTGGGCACATACCACAGGGACAGCTTGACAGGGGAGCCTGTTCCCCATAGCCCCTGGCTCAGATCCGGGTACACTTTCCCAAGTACTCTTTTTACTTGATTCCAGAACAGACCAGTGGGTCTGAACCTGCACTGAGCCCTTACAATCTGTGCCTACCCCCCACCCCCTGGACAAGGAATATAGAGCAGTAAGTAGACCAGTAAGTGCCCCAGAACCTTAGAAATCTCTGATCCCCAGGTCCTGGCTGCTGTGTACAAAGCCCTGAATGATCATCATGTTTACCTGGAGGGGACCTTGCTGAAGCCCAACATGGTGACCCCTGGCCATGCCTGTCCCATCAAGTATACCCCAGAGGAGATTGCCATGGCAACTATCACTGCTCTGCGTCGCACTGTGCCCCCAGCTGTCCCAGGTACCACCCTACTTCTAACCTCCTCCTATCCCTAAGGCCCATCCTTAGGTTCTTGTGGCCTTCAGGGGTCTCTTGCCCTGGAAAAATAGGGAATGACCAGTCAGTTTGTCTTCTCTCCTCCACCCTAGGTGTGACCTTCCTGTCTGGGGGTCAGAGTGAAGAGGAGGCATCGCTCAACCTTAATGCCATCAACCGTTGCCCCCTTCCTCGGCCCTGGGCCCTCACCTTCTCCTATGGGCGCGCCCTGCAGGCCTCTGCACTCAATGCCTGGCGAGGGCAGCAGGACAATGCTGAGGCCGCCACTGAAGAATTCATCAAGCGGGCTGAGGTTGGGAGCTGGAGGTGTTGATAAGGGAGGGTGGTGGTGCTGGTGTGTAGCCTAGCAGGGGGCAACACACAGAGACTACAGCCTGGGAAGGGTTTGGCACTTGTGAGCAGGCTCAGCCTGAGTCCAGCTGATCTCCCTTACATACCTCTCCCCTCTCTCTCCCATCTTACAGGTGAATGGGCTTGCAGCTCAGGGCAAGTATGAAGGTAGTGGAGAAGATGGAGGAGCGGCAGCACAGTCCCTCTACATTGCCAACCATGCCTACTGAACACCCATTCCACACCACAGCCCTTGACCTGGCCACATGCACCCAGTTTTGCTTGTAGTTATGGCCCGGGCCAAATAGCCATGCAGAGCAGAGGGCCTGCATTCCGTGCCGAGTTCTCTTCCATTTTATCCCCTTGCCTCCTCTCTCCCATGCTTCACCTGGGACCATAGGATGGGAAGATAGGGAGCCCCGATGACTGAGGGCAGGAGGACTTGCTACAAGTCAGAGCAGGAGGCCTGGGTCTTCTGTGTGCCCATGTAACCCCCTAAAATTTCCCCATGATGGGGTGGCTTCTCCTTGGGCTCTCCTTCTTGCCTCTCCTCTCTTCTGGGACCAGAGGGTAGGACACCAGCCCTGGTTCATGCTGAGTACATACCACATAGCAAATAAATGGTAGCAAACGTGCTACTTTGTCTGTCTGTTTTCCACATCAAATTGCCAGCTCCCAGTTTTTGACCTTTGCTGATTCTATCTCTGGGCTCTCTGACTGTGGTGGTGGAGAGGATGAGTTTTGAGTTTGACTGGGCTTCAAGTTTATGGGGGAGGGGCACACCCATTCATTATTACCAGCTCAGGCTCTTGCCTGTTGTTACCCAAGGCTGGAGTGGGGCAGTGTGAAGGGTTACAAGTCTTCCAGGGACTGCTACATCAGGGGCACTAGGCTGCAGCTGCAGAAGGATGGAGTGAGGCAAGACTAGAGCAACTCCTGAAGGCAGATTGTGTGCAAGGCCCCAAACAAGGAGGCCGCAGGACAAGCTGGGTGGGAGTCTCTCACATCTCATCTGTGTTGAGCCCTGCTGGGGCCTGACACGTTTAGCTAGGGGAAGCCACAGCAGGAGCACCTGGGCTTCTGCCCAGCAAGGGAAACCGCCAAGGCTCTGGGGGCTGCTAGGCTGGGCAGGGTACCTAGGAGGTTTTCAAGTGCTATAGCCCACTGGTGCTTGGGGAAAAGGAGGCACAGAGGGGGACAATTTGGGGGTCCAAGGAAGGGTAGACTTGGTAGGGCCTCATGCTGAACTTTGACACTTGGCTGGAGTGTAAGGTAGGCTGAGCACCTGAATCTATATGAGCAGACCAGTTAAGATAAAGAGATGAGAGAACATGCTGGGTGTGTTGTGTGAAGTGAGGAGGCTATGCTTCACCCAGTTAATCACTGCAATGTGGGAATGTAGGCCTGACCTTATAACAAAAATAGCTAACACTTAGAGATAGCACTTTTTACATGCTCTTGCCAGGCCCTGTTCTATTCATTCTATGTATACTAATTTAATCCAACAATCCTGTAAAGTAAGTACTATTGTCCCTATTTTAATATGAGGGAACAGTCACAGAGGTTAATTAACTCACTCAAGATTACTTAGGTATTAAATGGTGAAGCTAGCATTTGAACCCAAGTGATCAGGATTCAAAGTCTGTGCTCTTATGAATTTTCAGTATTTTTAAGTATCTAAATTTTTGCGAGTTGGAAATGAATTCCAAGTGAAAACACTGTACTGAGCAAGCCACTGTTGCTAAGAGTTAGTAGCTTGCCACCTCCGTGTTTGAGGCTGAGGTTAGGGCTCCCAGAAGGGGCAACCCTATGAAGGGGATGATAAACGATGATGTAATAGTTGACATCCGAGTGCTTTGAGGCTCTACACGAATGCCCTCACCCTTTCACAGATGAGAAAACTGAGGCTGACTACAGAATTTACGTTCTTAATCCCTGGGGCTGGAAATGTATTCTACGGGAAAGCGAAAGATTAATCAGGTGACCCCAGCAACGCCGTCACGCGCCCCTCCTTGCCCTTGTACCCTCCTTTCAAATTCCTAGCGAGGCTCCATACAGACCCCGCCCACCCCGCCGGCTTTCTCCCGCCTGCCAGTCTGGAGTGCCACTCGCTCGAGGAGCGGTCGTTGTCGTGGTCCCGCCCCCTTCTTATGGGGCTTCCGATTGGAGGAGGCTCACACAGCTCCGCCCCTCGGCCTCTTGAGCAACCGGAAGCGAGCATGGCGGCAGCCGGGGCCGCTGCTACGGATATAGGTGCGGTGGGATTCGAGTGGTGTCTCGTGGATGCCGAGGGAGGAATGCGGGGGTGGGGATGGTGGTCCCGCAGACGTGGCGGCAGGGGTCTCAGACAGGGGCCCCTTCAGACTTGAGGCCCTGTAGGTGGAGATCCCTACGAACCCGGGCCGAGGGCCTCTGGGCACCGGTTGCCAGCCTCGTTCGCGGCGGGGCTGGGGCCGGCCTCCGAGGTCGACCCTGGCGCCTCAGTCGGTTCACCCGTGTTCCCAGAGGTGGTCCGGGGCAAGCGTGCCGCCCTCTTCTTCGCTGCTGTGGCCATCGTGTTGGGGTTGCCACTCTGGTGGAAGACCACGGAGACCTACCGGGCCCCGTTGCCCTACTCCCAGATCAGTGGGCTGAATGCCCTGCAGGTGAGACTCCTTAGGGGAGGACTAGGAGACAGCCCACCCGCAAGGTGGAGACTCAGCAGACGTCCCTGACGCTCTTTCCCGCAGCTCCGGCTCATGGTGCCCGTCACTGTCGTGTTTACCCGGGAGTCAGTGCCCCTGGTTGACCAGGAGAAGCTGCCCTTCACCGTTGTGCATGAGAGAGAGATCCCGCTGAAATGTGAGTTCCTGGGATGCCAGGACTGCCCTTCCCGTCTAAGCTCTGTCCAGAGGTGGGTTGGGTAGAAGGAACCTGGGTGTCCCATAAAGGTAGTTAAACACTTACTGATAAAAACTCCCTCTGAAGGAAGAGTATGTTTGGTTAGAAGAAAACTAAATTCACTAACATTAAGGCGGAGATTTTATTCATAAAATAGTTCTGCTGCCTTAACAGAAGCAGTTGATGCTCATCAGGCAATAGAGGAGGAAGTGGGATGTAGGGGAAAGAACACAGATTTTGAAGTTAAATTGGATTTGAATACAGGCGCGATTCAGTTTAAACCCTTTACTGAGTATTAGGTACTTTTCTTAGGTACCAGGAATGTGGGAGTGAATAAAATTGATCATGGTTTCAACAAGTTCATAGCTAGGGGAGAAAGACCCTACAGAAGTATACAAGACCCAAGGATAGCGTTTTAAGAAAGAGCATTTAACTGGGAGGAAAGAAAGGCAGAGAAGACTTTGAGGCATGTAATTTTTAAGCCAGGTATTTAAAGGGTGAGTAGGAATATAGATGAGAGCCCCAATGGTGCAGTGGTTTAAGCACTTGGATGCTAACTGAAAGATCGGCAGTTTGAACTCACTAGCCATTTGAAGCCACCAGCCGGTCTTTGGGAGAAAGACGTGGTAGTCTGCTTCCTTAAAGATTACAGCCTTGGAAACCCTGTGGGGCAGTTCTACTCTGCCCTATGGAGTCGCTATGGGTCAGAATCCACTCAACGGCAATGGGTTTGGTTTTTGGTTTTGTTACACTTTCAGTGATGCAAAGATTATTTGGTGAGTTCATGTATTGTCAGCCTGATCTCTGTATTTTAAAATTCCTCGTCAACCTTTCATCTTATGATTTTAGCATCTATTGATCCTTGAATCTGTTTCATTAGTGGTTGCAAAAATGATAATTTTCTAATTCTGTCTTTCTTCCACATATATGGCTTGGATTTCTTCTATAAAGAAGGAAGAACTTTCTCAGTAAATGTTAAGTTCAGCTTGTCAAGTTCCACGACAAAAAAATCCCTTTGGGATCACCTTACGTGTGTAGATTAAGTTGGGGAGAATTGACATCCTTATGGTATTTAGTCTTTCTATTCAAGAGTCTTGTATGCTCTTTCCATTTTATTGAGGTCCTCGTTTATGTTCTTCAGTATGTTTTCTAGTTATGGTTTTGTACATTTATTCCTGAGCACTTTTATAATTTTTGTTGTTATTGCGATTGGGATTTAAAAAAAAATACTGTTACTTTTTCTAATATCAGAAGGCTATTGATTCTTGTCTATTCTTGTATCTAGTTATCTTACTAAACTGTTGTTACTAGTTCTAATAGCTTTTCAGATGGTTACATCTTAATTTTCTAGGAAAATACCTATACTGTTTTCAAAAATGGCCATTTTATCTGTTTCTTTCATATATTAAGTCTTTTTCTTCACTTATTACATTGGCTGGGATCTTCAGAAAGAACAGTGTTGAATAATAGAAAATAACAGTAGAGGAGATAGCAGGCATCCTTACTTTTTTACCAACTTTAATGGAACTGTATTTAGTATTTTGTCATTAAGTGTGCCCTTTTGTTTTAGTCAGGAATGCTCATTGACCTTAACTAAGTATTTTGGGGCATGGGTGGGGCAGCAATTGAGGCTGTTAATGTCATGATTGTAGTAGTAGATTTCACAGTCGGAGGATACTGTAGTGTGTACATAGGCATAGAGGTGGGAGCTGGGGCAGGTGGAAGAAGTGGAGTGCCATGTATTTGATATCATCCATACAGAAATCATTAGAGGTGGCTGGAGTTTCTTGGTCTTTCTCTGCGAACAATCATCTTGCTGCTTCCAGATGCTGGGCAGTGTTAGGGCTGAGGGGTGCAAAGATCTGAGACTTGCCCTTCCCATCATGCTTCTTCTTTTCCCTCCCAGACAAAATGAAAATCAAATGCCGTTTCCAGAAGGCTTACCGCAGGGCTCTGGACCACGAGGAGGAGGCTCTGTCATTGAACAGTGTGCAAGGTATGGGGAGGGGCAATTGCATCATTTTAACTGAATTCCTTTTCTTCCTTCTGATCTCTCTAGTGTGTAATTTTCATACCTTGGCTTACCTCCAAAATGTCTCTGGGAAGCTGGGAATGAGGCACCTTGTGTTTCAGCTTGGGCCACTGAGGGCCAGAGAGGTCAAGTGGTTTGGTCAAGCCTTGCCAAAATGTAGCTGGGTGTGAGTGGGAGGTAGCGGGGTAGCTTAGACATTCTGTAGGGGGCTGGCGGGGGAGATGAGATGGTGTTTTTCCTCCTGCTATACCACCTGCTCTTGTCCCCAGAGGCAGAAGCCACGTTAGCTGAGCCACAGGAGCAACCAGAGGGCTCCCTGACTGTGTACGTCATCTCTGAACGCTCCTCTCTCCTTCCGCAGGTAGGGCAAGCAGAGAGGCTTCAGCATTGCCTTATCCCTTCAGCTAGTCCTCTCCTGGGTCAGCTTCCTTCTTGCAGTATTGCTGCTCATTTCTTCCATTCACTACAGAAAACTCTCCAAATCTTTAAAAAAAGAACGCAAACAGGGATTTACTTATTCATTGACTCTGGGTCTTTCTAAAGCCTAGACCAAGCTCATGTGTATGGTTAAGGCACCAATGGCAAGTTAAAGTTGGAGGAAAAAAATCAGTAGGATTAAAAAGAAGGAAGCTGGTTTGAGTGAGTTATGATGATAATACAGGCAATACATTGACCTTCTCATTTTATGAACAGAAGGCTAGGTGGCAGCTATACCGTGCACCATTTTCTCTTTTAATGAAATATTTAATTCTTACAGAATCAACAGATAATTTCAATGAGCATCCATGTACCTATTCCCCAGCTTTCAAACTACAATATAGAAATATAGCTGGAGCCCCGTGCCTCTCCTAGTTATACTTGCCTCCCTTTCAGCCCAAGGTGACTATATTGTATGTATCATTTTCTTCAGCATTTTATTACGTATGCTGTATCTCTACACAGCATGTCTAATTTTACATGTTTTTGAGCTTTACATAAATGGAGTAATACAGTACTTGTTCTTCTGTAACTTTTGTTTTGTTCAACATTATGTTTGAGAGAATCATCCGTGATAATAGGTATAGCTGAATGTAATGCTTTCATTTTCACTTTTATCTAATGTTTCATTGTATAAACATATCACAGTATATCCATTTTGTTGCTGATGGACATTTGGGTGGTTTCTGGTTTTTCGCTACTAGAAACAGTGCTGCTGTGAACCTTCTTGTCCTTGCCTCTTTGCCATGTGTCATTTTTCTAATATCAGACTTTCTAGTACTTTATTTATTCTACTTTTCTTGCTCAGCATGCTATCCCTTAGTTTCCAGTTCTCCATTTTATCAGCCCCTGAAGATTTGGATGCTGTCTGGACCTCTGTCTACTGGGAAAAAGAAGGGAACTGTTCTGAAACTACTGAAAACACCCATATATATCCATAGTGCAACAATGCTGAGTTAATAACCCACTGTGAATCTAATGAGAGGTGCAGGCCTGTTGGTCAGTGGCAAAAGGCCAGATTCTTAAAGACAGGAGCCAGAATGCTCTTCTACTTTCTTTCCTTAGCCATGAGTCATGGGCATCCTGTCCTTTGCTCACCCCTCACAGGACATGATGAGCTACATTGGGCCCAAGAGGACAGCAGTTGTTCGGGGGCTCATGCACCGGGAAGCCTTTAACATCATTGGCCGCCGTATAATCCAAGTAGCCCAGGCCATGTCTTTGACTGAGGATGTGCTTGCTGCTGCACTGGCTGATCACCTTCCAGAGGACAAGTGGAGCTCTGATAAGAGGCGGCCTCTCAAGTCCAGCTTGGGTAGGGTGACTGGGCTTTCCCATGGAAGGGAGAGGGGAATGAATTACGTGGTGGCAGTGGGACAGAGGGGAACCCACACGCAAAATCCTTACTTCTTTATTCTCTGGTCTCAACTTTTTCTTAAAGCACTAGTTTTATCCTCCCTTTGGTTCCCTGGTGGCAACCAGCCCCAGTCCAGAGAGAAGCAAGTTCATCTCAGCCAGGGGTACAGTCTGCCTCTCTTCCTTGATCCCAGGAGCCTTCTTACTTCCTTGACTCCTGTTCTATAGGCTATGAGATCACCTTCAGCTTACTCAACCCAGACCCCAAGTCTCATGACGTCCATTGGGACATTGAGGGAGCTGTCCAGCGCTATGTGCAGCCCTTCCTGAACGCCCTCAGTGCTGCTGGCAACTTCTCTGTGGACTCTCAGGTGAGACTGGAAGCAAGTTGAGGAGTTTTTCTCCTGCTGCACCATTTTTTTCTAAGCTCCTAAATACTTAGTGTTTATAAGTACAGTCTATATACCACCATCTCTTGGAACTTGCTGATTTGCTAGACATTTCCTGTGTATGTGAGCATCATGAGAGGAGACACTGGTGTGTGTCTGTGTAAGTGACTGTGTCTCCGTGTCTTGAGGGTAGGTTCTAGTGTCCTTACTTTGCCTCCTTGATGTGCAGCTTGCGGGAGTTCCATCGGTGCTTGTTAACTAGCCAGCTTCCTTATGGCCTTCTCTAGAACTGTTTTTACCAGTTGTGCCTAGGTGTTATGCCACCAGCTGTCTTCCAGGAATGTTATTTTTAAAAAAGCTTCCTGAAATATGTTAATGAGGTTACAATAAAGGTATTGCAAAGAATGTTGCTGTTTATATCACACAATGTCCTTTTAGTGAAAACGTGGGAGAAATTTTTATTAGGTCTTGGTAGTGGGAGACCTGAATAGCTGGCTTGATTTTATCTTGTGGACACTGAGTTATGTTGCTCTTTGTTTCCCTCTTTGTTTAGGCTGCTAGGAAGCTTGGTGAAATATGTGGTTTTCAAAGCATATATCTAGTGTATATTAACTTTGCCCGTGGCTTCACTGTTTGTGTTTTCTTTCCCATACATTTATTTTCTCTCAGCCTTGATACTGTTTCTTGTATTTTGCCTTGTACTAATTTTGTCTTTGTAAGCCACCTCAAATCTTTTTTTGGGACAAAGTAGAATATAACTTAGTAAACAAAATAACCTCTCCCCACCCTTTGCTTCACAGATCCTTTACTATGCAGTGTTGGGAGTCAACCCCCGCTTTGACCCAGCTTCCTCCAGTTACTACCTGGCTGCTCACAGCCTCCCCCATGTCATCAATCCCGTGGAGTCACGGCTGGGTGAGCTTCTGATTTGAGGGCCTTTCTGCCTGGCCAGGGAGGGACTCTTAGGGCCCAGCCTGGGGTTGGAAGAGGGTTGCATATAGTGATGTTTCCCAGGTTGGGCTGCTCTGAGGGGCGGGGTAGTGCTGAGGATTTGGGCCCCTTTTTCATAATGCTCTGTTGATATCTCCATCCTTTATATCCAAAAGCATTTATTAAACATGATTCCCAGCACTTTTTACAAATACATAGGCTGAGTCTCCATCTCTGAAAGTCATCTAGGAAAGACATGGTCACATGTAGGAAAAACAGACAACAGCAAAAGTACATGGAAGCTGAATTTGAGTTGACAGCTCTGCTGATTGAGGTTGAGGAACCTTAAAGCCAGGATTACGATTTTTCATTTTTGGGGTAGCGCCTAGGAAGTGTAGTTGTGACCAAGAGTTGTAATGCAGGCAAACCAAAGTGAGTATATCACTGATTGTGGAATTTCTGGCACCAGAGGTAGGTAGGCCAGTGTGGACCAGGGGGTATGGGAGGGGCAGCATTTGAGGTCTTGGCAAATTCCTTCTCCACAGAATGGTGTTTCAGGTAAAGGGAGCTATGAGCTTAGATGCAGAAGTGTAAGACAGCATAGCCATTCAGTGAGCACAGCGTAGTTCAGTGTGTGACATGATGACGCTAGCAAGGCAAGCAGCAAGTACCAGATTGTACAAAAAGGACCAC